CTACTAACTTCTCTTCATTCATTGAAAAGAAAGGTTTGTGCTAATATTGTCTGGACAATTAAATGCATATATCTTAGTTACTCTGAGTAACTAATTTGAAGATAGTAATACACAATATATTAACCATTGTTAACATTCTATTATCTTTTTTTGAAATTTAAGTATTTTTCTATTTAAAATTTTAGAAAGATGTTCTTCATTAAGAACATCAGCCTAAACTGCATAGTGAAACCCTGTCTCAAAAAGACAAAAAAAGTTAAATTTTTTAGAGCCAAACCTACACAAGTTTAAAGCATACAAAGTAGTTAATGGGTGTCCTCTTTTATACAAAATACGTCTAGTCTTTAAATATATAAAGTCACCAAATTTGACATCTTTCTCTAACTGGTCTTGCCATTTAAAACCTGATCTATGCCCATTGGCTTTGATGAAACAAACATTTTGTTATTTTATAAATTAAGCACACTTGTAGATTGGCTAAGAAGTCTGTTTATGGTCGGTATCACTGTTTCCTAAGCTTATAAAACCTCTGAAGATGTTCCTTGATTCTTACCAGTGTAGATTACACCCTATAAAAACTGTTTTTAAAAAAATCTAAATTCTGCCTTACCTGTAAGAACTAAGTAAATATATACTGACTTATGTAAAAACAAAAACAAAACAAAACAAAAGATATGTTGAAATCTAGTGTTTTACAGTACCATATTTAACTGAATTTAGTAATCCCTTGGGTAAAACTAAATCCACAACTGGAAAGAAAATATTCTTTTTAAAAGTATTAGATTAAAATCTATATAAATCCATGCTATGTTCATACACATATTTTTCGGGGATTCTTGGATACCCTATGAGGTGAGAAACAATTGGAGAGATGGTGAATCTGCTTGCTGATATTCAGGTTATGGGGAAAGGAGGAGGTTTTCTCCAAATGTGTAAGCAGGAGGAGTAGTAAGAACCGAATAGAGCAGATAAATTTCAGAACACTGTAAGAACTTATTCCTATTAGGAATGTCCAACTTTAACACTGATTAATGAATTCCTTTTCATTTGAAAACCAAGTTAATGTTTCAATAATCTACCAGGCAATAGTTTGATAATTGGAGAGCCATCTCCTCATAAACCTCAAAATCCATGTTTGTCTACATGAGTGACATTCCACTGGCTCAGTTCTGTGAAATAGTTTTTAATACCTTCATCAAACGAGAAGATGGAGGTATCATAAATCATCGGTGAAAAGATATGTAGGTTTAAAGAGAGAGACTCCTTCTGATTAGATATACCCCTACTCATGACTAATTAGACTTCTGGTACAAAATAAAAGAAATTAGATAGAACACCAGCATTTGGACACTCTGCTGCCAGGAAATTGTGCCACTTTATTACAGAGAGGAGATTTAGAATAGGGAATCACTTTTTGGCAGAAACTTAAAAGTAATGCTGCTTGACAGTGACGTGAAGCCCCCATAGAAATGTGCGTCTTATCACCCCAACAGGACAGAAAACTCATTAAAATTCCTAACTCTTCTTTTACCTTTTATTCTGACCTCCACTGGTGCCAAGTTTACACAGAGTAAAACTCAAAACATTCTTGCTGAATTGAATTAACCATGTTGTACATCATGCTTTGATTTCTCTCAACATACACCCAGCCAGATTCTTGGAGTGTAAATTGTACCATTGGCACAAGAAAGGCCCAGGAAACCTGCATTAGCTTTTGCCAGCCACTAGGATAGTATTCAGAAAATTGCAGCTTCCATGGCTGAAATGGCTCAATATCCTGCCAACTAGAAAGAAATGTGCTCTCTCCACGTTGCCAACAGATTAACTTAAATGTTTGTGGCAAAGACCACTGAGCCCATTCAATCAGGATTATATTGGACCAATGTTGGGATTTCATCAGAGGATATTATAAACAAGAGCACAAGCAAGATTCCTATTAGACATAATTAGAGATATGCATGGAAAAGAAACATATCTTGCAAGAGAAAGGAAAAAATGCAGGATGTAAAGCTCAAGCTGTGTGTGTAAAAACAGACATTTCAAATTTGAACCATAGAATCCTCATCATTTTAAATGTTTGATAAATATACAAAATATGAGTGTGCTAATTATTTAGGTCACACTGAGCTCTAGCATGGGCCAGAGTCAGTGTTGAAGAAAAGGTTACTGACTGAACATTATGCATTCATCTAGGCCACTAATCCATATCGAAAATCATTAAGCTACTTAGTGAGAAATATTTTTTTAAATCTCATAAATATATAAATGTTTACATTTACAAATTGTGAAAGTGTTAGCAAGAAAAGCCAACTTGGCTTGTCACATGAAAACAAAAGTGTATACAAATTTTCTGTCCTAGATTGACAGGGTGACCATCGTTGTATGTTAGCATGTAACTCAGTGTCACACACTCACTACGGTGGATTTTGGGCTGCAATTTGAGGAGTAAGTAGAAATTAACCAGATAAAAACTAGGACAGGGACAGGATATAAACAAAGAAACATCCAGGCCAAGGGAACGTATGGAAGGTTCCAAGATGAGAAGGAGAATGTTGCCTCTGCAGAATTTTTAGAACCTGAGAGTAATTGGGGGTGGGGAAGTAAAGGGCAGGGGGAACTTCAGTACAAGATGAAAGCAAGCACGCATGGCTTTACAACTCTTCTCAATGCTTTGATCATTATCTTGAGAACAATGGGAAATGACTGAATTTTTAAAGAATAAAAAAATTATATTTGCTTCTCTAAAAGCATCACTCTAGTTGCAAGGTGGAAAACTCGTGAGTGGAGGGTAACTAAGTAGATGTAGGTCAGAAGCTACTGCAGGTGAGAGATGATGGTAGCTGCGACTAGGGCGTGTAATGGGAATGGAGACAAATGGGTCAAGCTGCAAATTAATAAGTAAAATTGCAGTGATAGAATGTACTGGACACTATTTTTTGATACTTATAACCAACACAATCAAGGTAACTTCCTTTGAAGAGTTTAAATTCTAGTTTGAGGAAAAAATACAAGTACAAACAATTACATTAGAGTATATATTTATGAGCATAAAAAATAAAAAAAAGCAATATGACAAAGAACAACAGGAATAGATGAACTGCTAATTTAAATGGAGTGGTCTTGGAAAGCTCTGAAGAACTTATGTTTGAAATGAGAGGAGAATAAAGAATAGGACATCTCCATGGAAAGATCTAGAGAGAGGACATACCGGACAGAGGAAGACCAAGTGGAGAGGTCATATGATAGAAGTCATCTGGGTTTATTGAAAGAATGGCAAGCAGGCCAACATAGCTGGAGCAAAGCAAAGAGTGAGGCTGAATGAGATGTAATCAGAGGTATAGCACTGACAGGCAACACAGAAGGACAGAGTTTGGGACAGAAAACTAAAAGTGTAGTTTTAGCAATGTTGAGCGTGAGGCACTTTCTTAACACCTAAAAGGAAACTTTTTAAGTAAGCACAATATGGATGTGCAATATTGGAGCTGAGATAAAAATATCAATTTCAGAGTCCTTATCATACAGATGGCAATTTGAAGTACAGATATGAATGAGATACCCTTGAGAAAATACACAGAAAACAGAAAGGAGCAAAGGATAAAACTGAAGGAATTTCAACCCTAGATGACCGAGTTGAGGAAAATAAGCGTGTGAAAGATAGGTGTGACCCAAAACAAAAACTATCCATGTAGCTGTGTCAGGGGTTAAAATATTGCAGATGAGTTTTTCAAGGAAAATGGCCAAGAGTGTTAGATGCGACTGAGAACCAAAACTCACAGAGATGGATTTAGAGGTAAGATTTGACTGGTGGTCTTAATAGAACTGCTTTTGCTGAAGTAAAGAGGGGAAAAAGCCAGATATAGAGTGGACTGAGATGTGGATGAAAATTGATGAAGTTTTGCCACTTGGGTACACTAAGGACAAAGTTGAAAAAGGAGTAGAAAAGAAATTGATTCTAAAAGACAAAGTGTTTTGGTTTGATTTCATATGGGTTTGAGTTTTATTTTTTGAAGAAGACAAAATGTAAGCATATCTTCATATTGAGAGGAAGCATGAAAACATATAACTAAAGAAGTTAAGGAAAAATCTTTCTAACACAAATGTCCACATACTTTTTCTCTGGTTGTTAACTGATAATTTTGGCAGCTACAGTGAGTATATACAAAAGCTATGCAAAACAATATTTTACTTATCACAAATTCCTATTTATTTTTATAATTTTCAGAATTTTCTTCATCTTATTAGAATATTCTAACAAAAATAAGTGAGAAGTATTTACATTCTGTATGTAGTATTTGTTTATGAATCATCATATTTTCTGTATTTTACTTCACTTTACTAATTAACTCAACATTGCACATTCATCTTATATGATATTGAAAGTTGCAGTCATTCCAAATTTTTTTCTTTTTTTTAACAATTAAAATTTACAGAAAAAAATGCTTACCAAAAATCTCTAAATGTATTTCAGTCAGCTATTTTCACAGAAGAAATTCAACCTATAAAAAAGTTAATAAATATATTTGCTGCATCTTTACAATGGTTTTGTCATTAATATATGACAAATAGGAAAATATGTATTTACTGATAAAGGAAAATATGTATTTACTGATAAAGTGCTGTGCACATCAACAAATGTTGTAGTCCAAAAAGAGATAATGTTCAGATAACTAAAATGCAGTATTTAAATACCTAAATTATCATTTAAACAAAGAATGTGCTGTATATACATTAGTTGTATGTAATTAATCTATGACTTGATATACTTTTTATGTATTTTATATAAATATATATTTAATATATTTTTAAATTTTCTTTCCTGTAAGGATAAGATTTAAAACATATCTAGCAAATCATTTCAATCACTTATAAAATAAGGAATTTTTCTAAATAACAATGAAAATCCTCTAAAATATTTGACCAGAACACAGAAGAGATCTGATAAGAGGGTTTTTTGGACCATTAAAGATTAATTCAATATCAAATCTTTCAATAAACATTTAGTGAGTATTTTCTACATACCTGACAAGGCTTTTAAAGGTGAATCATTGGCCAAATGACTGAAATACCACTATTTCAAATCATGAAAATCAAGTAAATTCTTTGTAACCTGATTTCTCTTCCTGTGAAGGAATGTGGTAGGTACTTCTTTAGGACATTCTGTAAGATCTTAGGAATTAGCAGAGATGAAACTATAAAAAAGAATGTGGTGAACTTGAAAATAGAGATATTAGTAATGCACTAGCGATTCAAGAAGCAAATACATGACTCAATGACAGTAAAGAGTATGTTTGACCAGGAAATACATCTGAGATACTCAAAGATTATGCATGTTCACATACACATGCACACACACACACACGCAAATACACACCTATCACTTTACTTGTGGAATTTGTCTCATTTATTTTTCTCACTGATTAAGCATTGCCAAGCATTAGAGGTGTAACTGGATAATTCAACTGAAATATAATAGTGGTTGCCAGTAGCCAAGCCCACATTCTAGCAGATAATAGGTAAAGAATTGTCCATAAAAATATCCATTGATTAATGGTACAAACTCATGAAGGGTGATAACCCTCAAATTCATTGGAGCAAAAGATGACTGAGCAACTCTGCCTACTATGATGACTTCATGAGTGAATTTTGGCCTTAAAACCAGAAGGAAGCCCCAGATGGTTTTATGTCTGGTTCCTGAAGGTATAAGGAGAATCCTACCTTCTATGTTGGAGAATTTCCCTGAAATGTAAATGAGAGAAATCTAAACTTAAAAAAGACTCTAAAAATTTAGACTTAGGGATGGAGTCTATATAATTTTTAAGTTGTGTGGAAATACAGCAGTAGGGAGAAATTCACCTAGGACCCTGAAATACACAATAAAATACTCTTCAGGTGATGGGATGTGCCATTCCTGGTCTGAGGATATTTATACATACAAAGACTGATAGAGATACTACTTAGCATTATATGCCACAGTGAAAATTTTAATGGCTTCACAGTATTTTATAAATATTCTGAAGGATTGAACTGCTTGTCACAGTGTTGACATGAAGTCATTCAAATGTTCTTCTGTAGTAATGAATACTGGCAAAAGTTAAGCACAAAACAATGAGCTGACAGCACCGATATTTCTCTGTACACTTTCTGTTAATCATTATTCACCAGTTATATTTTTTGTAACCCACCAGTGCAAAAAAATGCAATCACACCTACAGACACTGATGATTAATGATAAGTTCAGACATGTGCATGGCTAGAGAACAAATGATTAACCACTTCATCATTTCCCTGCTGATTTCAAGAATCTTGTCAGTGTGAAGGGTGCTCTTGAAACAAACAGGTTTACATAACATCAATTGGTTTCGGTCAAGCAATGGTCCTACCAAAGCTGTGGTCTTGATTATTGATTATTTTAAAAGGTACCAGCTCTAACAAGTGACCTCAAAGGAGCAGTTACCATGAGCTACAGCCTTTCCCAGAGTGACCTAAATCAGGAATATGCCAAAACCACAGGTAATCTCCAGGGGACAGCAGTCATGGCTAAAATGCTTGTGCAAATTAGCTGACCTCAGACTCTTATACCTGCTTATAATCTAAGTCATATAGACATAACAGCTTCTGATGTCAATGTATGAGCAAAAAAGAAAATAGTGTATTTAAAATATACCAAGGTTTTTAAAAAGCACATTTTATGTTTATGGAATCCTACTCATTCAGCTGTACTCTCTGAGAAGTTTAAAATTCTTCCATATCAAACATGCATCTGCCTTTGAAATACTCCCATATATTCAAGCTACTTCCATATATGTAACACTTCTCTGCTATCTTTTATGCTTTATATTCCACTGACTTCCAAATTGTTAGTTATTTGTATTGGAGATTAAGACAATTTTTAAAAGTTGCTAGAGATACAAACTTCAGCCATTTTCATCACAGTTATTTAATGTTTGCAAAAACTTAAGAGTTGTTCACACTTGTTGACTAAAGAGTCTACTATAGCCTTCAAGAACATTCCATATTTTAAAATGACTAATTACTTAGATCACATTAGGTATTTTCTTGGTCAAACAATAATGAGACATCTAGAAATTTTTCTCTCCAAATATGTGACACATAATTTTTACTTTCTTCTAAGGGTTGCTCTATACAAATAGTCAGATTTCATACATACTTTTATTGTTTTCAAAGCTTAAAGCTTTTTATCTTACAAATATTTCATCCTAATGGGTTGCCATCCTCCCACAAGATTGAAAGACTTTACAGAACTTTACTCAAAATACTTCTGAAATTCTTGGGATTAACAATGATTGCTTCAGACGCAGGCAGACTTAAGATGTGTAAGGAGTAGTGTTATTTATGTTTTAATTTCTGTTCCTATTGTTGTCTGGGAGTTCTGGCAGAAGGAAGGTGTTATAGAAATATAATTTATTAATAATAATTTGTTTCAAAACTTTCACAGTGAGAAAGGATAAGAAAGGATCTGTGAAAAGCCTTAAAACTCCCAGAGAAGGTGACTTACTGATGGTGTTAAGTATTTACAACAAGAACAAAAGGATTGCTCTTAACACTGTTTTTAGCAATCAGAGGACCACATTCTCACAGCCAGGGTTGACAGTTTCTTTCGAGCAGAGTAAGTAATTTTCCATGGTACAAGTTCACTAGACAAAGTTTCTGTCTCACCCCAAAAAAACAATGGCATATTGTGCCGGCTCTTACCTCCTAAATGTTTCGCTGTCCCTTACTCACACAATTTCTTTTGAAATAAAAGGCAATCTGATACAAAGATGATTTAGAAGTCGTAATTTGAACTTGAACAACTCATTTATTTGAAGAAGTCATGCAAAGACCAGGAAATATTTGTTTTTATTGTGTCATAAATAAGTCAGACATTTGTTGATGTAGGGTATCCAGATTTAAAAGGATATGAGGATAATTTCTAGATGAATAGCAGGAATCTGGAAAATCTTTCCCATGAGAAAAGCTTAAGAGAATTTTGCTTGTTTAGCCAAAGGTAGAAAACTTTTAAGCATTGGCTGAATATCTTTTACCTCTAGGAGAAAGAAAAGACATTGTTTATTAATTTTTCTGAAGCTTGTAGTATTCAGTTAGACACATGGGTCTTAATCTTAACTGAATATCAGATTACTTAAGGAGCTCAAAATAAGTCCACAAACACAGCAAAAAGTGCCTAAGCTCTACGCTCATAGTCCTACAATAATTCTACACTGGTGAGGTATCAGGGACCCCAGCAAAGACCCTCAACCCCCTGTTCGGTGTTACGACACAAGGCTGCAAAGAAAAACTCAGATACAAAGTAAAAGCGAAGCAGGGAACTGAGGTAGTCAGTGCTCAGTGCTGAGTCAGGAGCAGAACCAGTGGGATGCGAGGTATTTACTGGTTGTACATTCTACAGAACAGGGCAAGGAGGCCAAGTGTGGTCGCTGGAGATAAGACGCTGATGCAGGAAGGGCTTGTAAAGGAGGGGACAAAACATCCTTGCATCAAGAGCAGAAGAGACCAGGAGTAGGTCATGGTTAATGAGTAACTCATTTTTCAAGTAAGTAAACTGCAGTTCTGGGAAAAGAGTTTGGGAAGAGTCACTTGTCCTCGGCTACCGTGTGATCTCACACCAGAATCCACACCTTCACAGACAGGATCTCTGGTCTCGGCTGTGGCCACTGGTGAGGGGAAAATTCTAATCCATGTGCCACTCTCAGTGCTCTTATGAGTCACTACTTAAACAAACCAATTGTGGAGTTAACTCTTTACACCCCACACTGCTTATGGCTTGCTTTGGGCATAATCAACAGGGTGGTCTCCCATGGTGAGGGATGTATAAGTATCACCTGCCACTTTAAAATTTCACCAGATATTTCCAAAGTGTAGCCAGAGTTAAGAACAAATGAACTAGAGAACATCAACATAGTTAAAAGTAGCTGAGATTTTTCAGAAAATTAAGGAAAATGTTTTAAGCCAGTGTTTCACAAACCAGGACACCAAACCAGCATCACAATTATCTGGAGAGCCAGTCTGAAATACACAGACAAAGCCCACTTCCTCCACTCGGTCCCACACAGAGCTCCCCATGACATTCTGAAAAAGGCTCTCTCCATCACTCAACTTTATTCACCTTGTCTGAATCCTTTCCAGGGCCACATCTCAGCCTTGGCTTCTGTCTTTGCTTGGCTTATATAGCACAATTTTAGAGAGAAACCTACTAAACTAAGTAGAGAGAACCCATACCTTCTCTACCTGATCCCTCTCATTATATAACTAAATTTCTCATCCCTCCATCAATCCTTAGATATTGATTACCCAGACTGCCTTCAACAAGAATCCTACGAGGTCAGTTTAACAAGAATCCTCTGCCCTTGATGCCTCCCCTTAGTAATTTCCATCCCTTAATTACTCTCTTCCTCCTCCCAATCTACTCCTTGAAAATACATTTCCACTTGATCTGTTTGTATGTGGAGTTGAGCCTGATCTCTCCCCTATTGCAATGGTCTGGACAATTGCAGTAGTCTGAATGCAATCTTCCTTACTATTATAACAGGTGTCAGTATGCGTCTTTCTTTAGCACATGGATTCTGAAACAATGATATTGGCCTCTTTCCTCCTACTATGCCCCCACTGGGAACCACTTTTATATGCCACCTGGATGACACCATTCTTAAATGTACTCTCACTAAGTATTATGGACTTGAGCACCATCAGGAGCCCAAGGCAAACACATGTGTTCTAGCAGTAAATATTGAGGGAATAAAATCCCTTTGGAATAACAAAAATGCAGGACTATAAAAAAATATATACAGAGTTTGACTGATGGTTTTGTTAGTAACAGGTGTATACTAAAGGGAGAGGTCATAGGAAGAAGAAATACAAACCAGAATGTATAAAAGACTATGATTTTAGAAAAGGAAAAGAATACTGAAGCTCAGTTCAGCACTGAATGGGATCTGTGGAGAGAAGACAAGGCAACAGATTCCTGAATCAGGACCTGAAGGTATTACCAGCTTTCATGAAAATGGATTACCTCTCTTTATGTTCATGATTGACCTTGGAATTTAAGATGCAACCAAGCTGCAGCTGGTAAATATGTTCACCT